TGTTTTTTAAATGATAAGAGATTTTTAAGCACCCTCATGAACATGAAACACAAAAAAATGCACAAAAAATAACTTCAAGTTATGAGAAATTTCTAAATCAAAATGTCAAAACCAAAAGTAGAAGCTCGTGGTTGCCTAATGTGGGAGTGCCAAGTAATAACTACTTTATGTAACAAACCATATTTATGCAATTTGTATCTGTGTGTGTGTAAATATGAACACACACACACAAATATAAGAAATTCTATTAGAGTAGTTGTATGCAATTTGCCCTCCTGAGATAGGGAATTTTACATAAAAAATGTAAATAATAAGTTATTTCATAATATAAGGACTAAAAGAAAACAAAATCCTATAAAAACAATTGAAACTTTTAACTTTGTATTACAAAAATATGAAATTATGCTGACAATCTAATACATAACCCAAGTAATTAATGTAATTAATGCAAAACCAGCTTCAGAAAGCTTGTCAAAATTTTAAACCACCATTGTATGTTCTGCCCATTAAAACAAGATATTACTACTGTCTATTGGCATTAAACAGTTATTATTATTAACATAAGCACTTTCCAAATTTTTATCAATATCATCTTCAGGCAAAGAACATAATTTTTGAACATTAAAATTTAAAAAATAAACATTAAAAAAGGAATTCAAATTTTTTTTAAATTAAACCAACATAAGCACGAGAATAGCATGCACATAGAGATATAATTAGTATAATAAACAATAAAAATTTCATAAAATAAAAACATAAACTATGAAAACATAAATATTAAATGACCAAGTTTTTAAAAAGTGATACCCAAATCCTTGGAAGATCCAACATAGATTTATTACATGGTTCCATTGTATGTTCTGTCATGGAAGTACTGTATGTCCCAAAAGTTCATAAACTTTTTAAAAATCATATTAAATAAATAAATTGGTGTATTACAGTACAGTATGCATGAATAGGCTTGTCACAGGAGACAGATATTTTTGGCATTAAACAAACTTTGGTTTAAATTTTCACCAATAGAGGGCACTGTACATCTGCATCACAAGAATATTCAAACTTAAATCCTTTAAAAAAGATGTGCAACTGTATCATAAGTAACTTGTATAAATCCAGTTATTGTGCATGTTACACTCAATGTTAATGTTGGTAGATAAGTCACTTCTGGTGAAACTGTTTTATTTGAGCAGTAAATTGACTACAAAGCTTTACAAAAGCTTCAAACTTGGCAGAGTGTCCTCGCAGGCTTGTGTTAGTTGTGTATCTTTACAAATGGATGATCTGGCAGCAGAATCAATGAGCAGCACACGCAGTGTGTGAGAAGTTGCCAGAAACACAGGTATATCCAAAACAATTGTGTTAAGCATTGTGCACAGTGTGTTAAATTTGTATCCTACAAACTGAAATCTCTTAATGAGCTGAAACTAAGCAATTCTGAGAAGCAGAATAAATTCTTCCAATGGACTCTGGAAGAGCTTGAGGAAAATCCCTAAAAACTTTTTAACATCTGAACAGATGAAGCCTATAGTTACTTGCATGGGACTGTTAATATGAGTAACTGTAGAATATGAGCAAAGGAAAATTCACATGCATACACAGAGAACTGCTACATGAACAACAACTACTGCATCAGTTTTCATTGGACCTTTTCTCTTTGAAGAGCCATGTAAAACAAGGGGAGGAAAAACCTTTACAGTAAACTGGTCACAGTGTTATTTGAAAATGATTAAAGACTGACTACATTGTGACATTCTTGCATGCACACAATCTTCTTAACACAATCATGTTCATGCAAGATGGGACTCCATTCATGCAGCATCTCCTGTGAAGCAATTCCTAATCAACACATTTGGCAAAAATGACTAATGAGCCATTTCTGCAAAATGCATGGGCCCCATGATCTCTGGACTCGATACCTATGAATTTTTGGCTACAGGACTACCTAAAGTCTCACATATACACTAGGAGATAGCCTCTTATGATTCACTTGCACAATGTCATTGGTTGTCATGGCAGGCACATTAAACAACTGCTGTTGTAGTATGAATGCAAATGAATAAATGCTATACCAAATCGACTTCTTTTTTCCATACTGTTCTGATTGTATGATGATGATTATCCCTCTATTGGTGAAATTTAAACTAAAAATTTTTATTATGCCAAAAAATCCACCTCCATGACAACCCTTTTGATGTAAATCCTACTGTAATATGCCAACTTGTTGATTTTATAACTTTTTGTAAGGTCTACAAACTTTAGGTACACCCTGTATACAGAAGTTAGCACCATCTTACAAAATATGGCAACAAAACAATTGGTTGATTCAGGTAATGAAAAAAGTTTATACAGAAATGTTGTGCATGCATCCTTTAAACTCTTTGGATTGTCAACACACTTTAAACTCTATGGATTGTCAACACACTTTAAACTCTATGGATCTTTAAACTTTAATCTATGGATTCCATATTATAGAAGATATTGATAAAATGAGAATCAAAGGTGTAAATTTGAATACAATAAATATTGCAACTTTGAATGAAATTTATCCTTTCCTTGATAAAAAGTAAAAGTTTATATGCTATGGCTTGACCTAACCCCACACCGTACAATCTGCTGAGGCAAAATAAAGATTCTACAAATAAAAACACAAAGCAACAACTTATAAATATAAGCATAAAATAAGGATCTAAATCTAAAATCATCATAAGATAAACTTCCAGGCATTCCAAGTGTTTTAAAATGGCATAGAAGAGATGTGTCATTACAATAAACAATACAGAGCTTTGATATTTCTTAATTTTGAAAGAAGCAACATAGACAAAGAATGCAATCCTTTCCTGTAATAAATCTGCATAAGATAATCTGTGGCAAATGCATTAATACAAAGTATAAAATATTACATCCAGCATGGAAGTATGTGTCAAAAGATAATAACCCAATTATATATCTTAAAAATTTTACATTTTTATTTAGATATTATTTGATATTTTATGTAAGTCAAAGATGGTCAAAAATATTTGTTTCTATTAGCCATAGAGTAAGCAAGATTAGCCATAATATCTGCTGTAAATCAGGATCACATTGAAAACCTTTGATAGTGTCAACTTTTCAATAGAGAGAGAGCACTTAGCCATCATTAAAAACAATGTTAAAAATGTCCCAGACACAACACTTATCATCTTGTTTCATGTCTAGTCATAGCTATCAAAGCAACCACCAGCATTACTCTTTATATTCATTACTTTGACATACAAATGCTCTCAAGCATCCTCTCCTGGCTTAAAAACAATTTCAGTATCTTTTAATATTTAAAATCCAATAATTCCAGTTGTGGCTAGGCATGAAAAAAATACACTAAGCATTGCCTGGGACATTTTTAACACTGACTCTTTTAATGACAACCAAGTACTATCTAATGAAAAGTCTTTACCTTCAAAGATTTTTAGTGTGTTCCAGATTTTCATCATGTATTATGTATGGCTAGAATTTTATATTTCAAATAAATTTTTTTTATGTTTCATCTATTGTAATTTTAGATTTATACTGTAAAAAAATGCATTGACTCATAACAGTTTTCAATAACTTAGAAAGAACTTTATTAGTACACTTTCCACATTTTTGGAATTTTTCTTTAAAAAAGACATGTTTATATTTCGATATGCCTGTTACATTGTAACAAAAATTACCTCATTCGCCATGTATTGCGTACAAAAGCAAACTTAAACTCAACGTTTTACAATCCTGTAATGTATTTATTAATGTACAGGTATCCCTTAATTAATGCAATTAATTGATCTATCAATGCTTTGCTTATATCAAAATCACGTTAATCAAATACAGTGGAACCTTGGTACTTAAATGAATAATCACAACCCACAATAACAAATATTTTAATTTTGTCATCCATGAAAAACATTTATATGATAAAAATGAATAACTAATTTAAAAATAAAATGAAACTTTGGAGATGCCTACCTTTATCAGGCAAAATTTTACTTTATCCAGTTTTTTCCACTTAATGCATGCAGAACACAATCATCATGTCAAGTGACAAACAGATTTGCTGCAAGTTCACAAGTTGTTATTCATTGATTTATAACAATTTTTTTCAAATTTCTCTTTGTCAACAGTTTTTGGGTTTAAATGTTTTGTATCCTTTAATTCAAAATTTTCCAAATGAAACTTTCAAAACCACATTTGGCATGCATGACATTTAGGAGTATCTGACCCATACACACAGAGTATTTTTTTTACTGTTTATATAGCATTATATCTTTTATGAAACTTAAAAAGCATATATAATATGCATAAAATATGTTTTATTTGCAGACATTTCAATTTCATTTTATGAAAACAAAATGTGAAGTAAAGTTTTAAATAAGTTTCTAAACAAAGAAGACAATTTAACAGCCATCTTTACTTAACATAGATATGTTTTTCTCAGCAAATAAGATGTTAGTGATTTCTTATATAAATACCTAGTTTAATTATGATAGTTTAGCAGTAATGTGTTAAATTTCACAACTATCATAATTAAACTAGGTATTTATATAAGAAATCACTAACATCTTATTTGCTGAGAAAAACATTACTATGTTAAGTAAAGATGGCTGTTAAATCCACATTAATTAAAACTTCTCCTGCCCATATGTAAAAGAATTGTTTCAATCAATTTTGCAAGTTAATCAAATCCCACATTAAGCAAGAAATATCTGTATCTGTATTTAATGTATATTGTTCTGTAATGTATTATCTATAATGTAAAGTAAGTTTTTTACAAAGTAGTATAATCACAAAAGCAGAAGTTGATATGAAAAATTTATAATGTCATTTTAATGCATTAGTGTGTTGATTTATTAATCTAAAATATATAACTGATGGAAATATTCAAATATTTAAGAATAATTTTGTTAGTAATATATGTTTTCATGTTTTGAAGTATTTAAAATTGTTAAAATTATTCTGGTTTAGATCACTACAACAACAATTAAATCACTCACCTTGGCCAATTCCATAAGATTTGCCATCTGAGAAGGATTCTGATCATCTCCCGTGCATCTAAAACTACCATTTTCTAAGTAACGTTTCTTTGGTGGTTTCGAAATGGCGGGTGAGCTGGGAGTGCTGGGCGTTGTTGGAGTGCCAGGTGAAGAAGACATTCCCACAGTCGCCAAGTTGCATTGACCAAAATCGTTGGAGTTATTTATTTCATCGGCTGAAATAAACCAATCAGGTTAATATTTTTTTCAGATTTGTGCAAATTAAATGCTAAAAAGTTAAGTAAAATTAATAAATATCTACGTTAATATTACTTTTGAAATTAATATTAATTTAGATATTCCATTAATTTTATTTCAATGTTGTTGTAAATACATTATTTTAATCTCAATGTAAAATAATTTCCAAAAGCTATCATTTACAGCTATTTATTTATTACTTATTTCTGCTTGAAAATTATTGTATTGATATTACAGTAATATAAGCAACAATTACAATTTGCAATCATCATGTTTTTTGATTAGTATCTTTACATTTTAATTAAGTACTAAATTACTTAAAAGATATTTATAATTTCTTAAATTAAATAAAATTATATATAATACAAAGACATTAATTGTCATAATAAATAAACTCCAATTTTTATAATCAAATCATAACTATTACTAACAAATTTTTTAAATTGAGCATTGTTTCTCTAGTATTCTTTTGGCACTCAAATCAACATTCAGTACAACTGTGGTTGAATTTCTCTAAAAAAAAAAAAAATACAAATACTACTGCAAAATGAACAGATAAATGCTTTTATATAGAAGTTTGATCATAATTGTTCTCCAGGTAGATGAGCTTGATTGTCTATAAATACTGTATAAATAATACTCAATTTAAATTTGTGACCTCCAATAAAGCAGAATTTAAATTTTACAACATTTAACATTAATCTTGATGCTTCTAAGAAAAAACAGTTTATAAAGTAACTGATTAAAACAAAAAACAAAGATGGTGGAATATCTGCACCGTAGTACTGTAACACCAACTCATATCTATAAACCTATTACCGGTGCGCGTATCATCACACTTTGATGTGTGATGATATGTGCACCGGTAAAAGGTTTATAGATATAGATAGTTGGTGTTACAAAAAAACAAAGATTAAAATGTTATTTTTACTTCTGGTATGCAAATATTTAATTCTCTTTAAAAGAAAAATCACAAATACTTACCTGAATATTTAATTTTAGTTTAAAATTTATAAATTATTTGAAAATAATAATTTATACATTGAATGTTTTGTTTTACTTCAAAATCTATTGATTTTAAGGGTAGTGATGACTTTTATATAAAACATTGTAACGGTTAACAACGAATAACATCTTCATTAAGATCTACCTCTCTCAAGATTTGACATGACAGCTCTCTATCTCCCTACCCCTCTAACCTTTAACCACTAAAATTTAATAGCATCAATGCATCAATGCTCCTCATACACAAGCTTTCATGCCAAATTTTGTTTCTTATAAACGCCAATACACACACGGACTTTTTCCTTTCAGGACTTTTTTTAGTTCAGGTCTCAAAACATGGAGAATATTTTGTCTTGTTTAGAAACATTTAATAAAGGGTTAAAGAAAGAAATGTCTTGTTACTTACTTTCAAAATTAAAAAAAAAAAACAACAACAACAACAACTACGTAGGGTCATTTTGACTCATCATCTCAGTCAAGGGTTAAACTCTTCCTTTCCTTTGCACACTTTTACACAAAGAGTTAGAATATTCTAGCTCATTGCCTTTACACAACACAAATGGCATGCCCATGGACTAAAAAGAAAATGGCAGACATGAATTCAAGTTTCTTTAAACATGGCACTGCTACATTCACTATATTCTAGCTCATTGCATCAGCTGAATTGTTGGTTTAGGTAGATAATAGCCTGACAATCTCACCAAATTTTACCATTTATGATCATAAGAAAGCAAATTACTCTGAACTTTATTCTAAACTTTTAAAGGAATAGTGAGAACAGATATACTTAAATATATCAGCTGAGGACACATTTAATAACTTCTATAACATTTTATATAGTCATTTTGATACAATTGTGGAAAAGGTAAAACCATTTGTATGCAAGTTTCCTCCATGGTTTATTCAGACAGCTTGAAAAGGTACAAAAGTAATGTTTTCCAGAAGGTTATACAAACAGTTAAAGCATAACAATTTTTTGTATCAGTTTAAAGAATTGATTATAAGAAGCATTTTTGGAATATAATTGACCAATTGAAAATGAATCCCAGTTTGTTTTGGAGATATTTTAAGACATTGGAATCTAATAATAGTAAAAATATCTTCTATGCTTCTGAGGGAAAAATCTATACTGAACTGGAAAAGTAAGTAATATGTCTACTATTTACCTACCTAAGAGGATATATCCTATGGTCACTATTTCTATTTTTTCATAAGAAAGTACAACACAAACTATTTGACAAGCAGAATGAAAGTATAAAGATAATAGTGACATTATTGCATTATGACAAAACATGCTAGTATCCTTGAGCCGTGCAATTGCTAGCAAGCACTATGTTTTTTCTTTCTGTCACTAAATCACCTTGCCTTATTCATTTCAATTTATATTTTTTAACAACAAACTGTAACATATATATGTATAGTAAATTCTACCAATTAGGACTTTGTAGCTGAATCTATTCCAATTAAAAATTATGTACAAAAGTATTTTTAATTCTGTACTGTTTATTGATGCAAATTAACTTTTTTTTTCTATAAAAAAAATCAAGAATTTTATTACTTGATTTCAGTTTTTTCCTGCCAACCTGTGATTAAAGATAGAAAAAAGTAATTGTCTTCTACATAAAAATAAATAGAACATATTCTACTCATAAAACAAAAAAAATTTTATTCTAAACACAAAAAAACACATCATAAAGTACAAGTTTTTTAAAATAAAGTGTGTGCATTATAGACAATGTACCGGTACTTGTATTTACCATGTACAGTTTAAATATCATTTTGATTTATGTTACTCAAATCCATTCAAATACATATATAAACATCTGAAAGCCTGATATTTTTATAATGAAACCAAACAAACTTCAGCTTTATATTAAGCTAATTTACCACTACTATTAATAATTAAATATTGAGTAGTTTGGTATTAAAGGTAAGTGGTAAGCCCTATCTCTTATTAAATTTAATATTTATTAAATAATTTAGAATATTCTGGAAGAAAAGTATCTGCCTGGAACAGGACTTAAACCTACTACTGTCACTTACCGTGCAGATGTGTTGCTAGTTATACTAAAGTATTTAAATGCTAATAGTAGCGGTAAAGAAGCACGATGTAAATCCGGCAATTGTTTGGTTCCATTCAAATATACAAATGCATTTGTGTGTGTATTGTAATTGAACAAGAAAAACAACTGTACTATTGGTAGTTTTCTAAAATACGGAAATGTTTAATGTACTTAATTTTTTTAAGAAACAACTTATAACGCACAACTTATATTAATTGTAACCTGTTTATTTACATATAAATTTTTATTTGTATTCATGTCTTTTCTTATTTAGACTATTTCTTTTATTTCTATTTTTAAATTGATGGAAGCTATTTAGTAAACAAACTATAATTCTTACATATACATTCTATTTATGAAAAATATTGATTAAAAGGATTATTTACTACGATTATATAGGCATATGCATTTGCAAGAATAATTTATTGATACTAATATTAAGTATTTTTCATTTGTTTTTTTTTCATACCAGATTCTTAACTTTTTCCTTGCTTTTCTTGTACAGGGTGGTTATAATTAAAGTTGCCCTACTCAGACCTGTATAGAGTCTGTTCTCGTTGACATATTTTGATAAAACTTGGTACATACGTTATATGAACCATGAAGAAAAGGAAAATGCAAAAAAATAATTAATTCAAATTTCTACCACTAGATGAAAAAACGGCACACGAAGAAAAAGGAACAAAATAGAAACACTCAAAAGGTTTTTATTCACAACACTTATTCAATGTGCAATCCATTTGCATCAATCACATGTTTGAAGCACCTTACAGCGTGTTCAACAGTAGCCCGATAGGTTTCTTGAGAAATTGCAGCAATATGGCATGTTATGCTTGCTACCAATTCAGGCAGAGTTCGTATGCCTCATCTATAGACACGATCTTTCAGATATCCCCACAACCATATGAACCTTTTGCATGTTTCTTGTTCTTTGTGTGCCATTTTTTCACCGAGTGGTAGAAATTTAAACTAATTATTTTTTTTGCATTTTACTTTTTCCTGTCGTCCGTATAATGTATGTACCAAGTTTCATCAAAATAAGTCAACAAGAATGGACACTTTACAGGTCTGAGCAGGGCAATTTTGATTATAACCACTCTGTATGTGACATCTTAACAGAAAAGTAGTGCTTGCTAGCAATTGTATGGCTCAAGGATACCAGCACATTTAATCATAATGCAATGATATCACTGCTAATGAACTTTACACCTTCACTCCACTTGTCAAATAGTCCATATTTTACATTCTTAAGAAAAAATATAAATATTGACCATAGAGAAATATCCTCTTAGGTAGGTAAATAGCACATGTTTAACTACCAAATAAATTGCTACTAGGCTACTAAGAATTACATGACTTGCATATAGTAACACTCTCCTAAGTGTGTTAAGTGAAATAACCATGTTTGAAACACTTGCTAGTAAGAAATAGAGAGCAAGTAAATAAGTGTAATGTACACTGGTGTGCAAAACTTAAGCAATAATTGTTCTTTTGCCATAACTCAGAAAGAAATCACCTGGGAGACATGAAATTCAGAATACAGAGTCAGTATTTTGTACTTAAAGGATGAAGAAAGCATACTAGCATAAAAATGAATAGAACACACACAGTATGGAATCAAAGCCTCCTTCTTATTGTAGTCTTGCACTGCACATGCTGACTGCACGCGTTCTGCATTCCTTCACATCACCTGTGATGTCTTCTTCCTGAATGTGAATCACATTTCTACTGAATTGGGTGTTCATTATACTAATCGCAACAAGCACTTTTCTACAATTTCATGGCTGTCTGCTTAAAAATTACATTGTTACTTAAGTTTTGCACACCAGTGTATAATATTAAGTACAACGAGGGATCAAACACTAACAATAAGTGGTTATTCCATGTAAAAGTGTACTTGTTAGGTTAGTTTTTGACTTAGACAAAACCTCAAACTGAACTCATCTGTAAGTAGGGAAGCACCCATACCTAAATTTAATTTATTAATATTTGGCATGTTATGCATCATCATTTACATTATAATCCTCCAATCAAAGTAGAAATGGAAATAAAATAATAATTAGTTTTAGAAAGTATCAATCAATTTTTGTTACTATTTTTTGAAAAAAACTTATGTAATAGGTTAAATTCATTGAGTCAAACTTACTTTTTCTAATAAATGCAATAATAATTTATAAAAAAAATTCAAAGCATTAGACTCTTCCAACACAACTAAAAATAAAGTACATTAAAAAATTTAGTAGTGCTTTTTAATTAATTTTTTAAAAATTTCAATAGATTCTTCCTATCAGTTATTATTATGTTTTATCTTATTTTATTTCCTTTAATCTAAAATTACAAACAATTAAATTGTCTAAAGGTGTATAACTAATAATCATTAAATGTTTTGAATTTAAGTTAAGTTTTCATTTGTTTTTAACAAAAAACTTTCCAACCAAAACAGAATCATCATTCGGGAATGTGGTAAAATTTATGTTTTGACTTCATTACATATTTATTATGCTGTCAAATCTTACAAAAAGAATTTTAATTTAGAAATTGAATAAAAGAATCAGATAATACTTGATTTAAATTCTCTCATTTGAAAGACAGATCGGTGAAGTAAATTTTTTTAAATTTTAAATTAAACTTCACAATTATAAATCTAAGTGAAATATCTGGTAATTTTATTTTGAAATAATTATAAGTCAGAAAATACTTCAAACCTGACGACGCTGTTTCCTCGTGACCTAAATGCAACTTTGGTGGCCTTTTGTGTAGAGTCTGTGCGGACATGACTTGTTTCTCTGGATTTGGCATTCAGACTTCACATATCCACTACATAAATATCTTTCACAACACTGAAAAATAAGAAATTATAACTTTTAATTTGGAATATTCAGCATTATATATTAATTATATTCAACATATATAATTTATTAAAAGTCAAAAATCCAAAACATTTTTACTCTACAATACTATTTTCGTCTTTGTTTAGAAACAATATACACAAACATAATATAAACAAATTCAAGTCCTGCTGTTTTTATATAAAACACTGTTGTATTCCAAACCAACAAAAGATAACAGATTCAAACAAACAACACCTCTTAAACAGCAAGAAATATTTGAAGCCAATGTTTTCACTCTATAGAATATCCAAAATATTAGATGCAAACATTTCTTGTTGTTTAAAAATGCTGTTTGTTTCAATTTTAAAAAGAATTGTAAGATAGTTAATAGATCACAAAGAAAATATATTGACAAAAGTATCACAAAAAACAAAGAATAATTTCTTCTTACTCTACATGAATTTTGCATTACTATTATATTTGTTTTATTAATAAAGCTAATTTTTAGTTTTCCAGCAATTATAGAACATAAGGAAAGTGTGATAATCAGCCAAATTTTGTCCCCCTGGAATTTTGCATTTCTTGACATTACAGGAGAGATAAAAGTGCAAAAAGAAATATTTATGATATTTTATATTTTTTAAAAACTACAAAAATTGTTTAAATTTTTTATAAAATTTAGCTTAAATTAAAACTTGACAAACAACTATAGAAATACGTATCTACTGAATAAAAATATATTCATGATTGTAATATTGAGTTACCAGTAAACATTTTTATTGATTTTGTATATATTTTATATCAATGCAGTCAATAATTTATACAAAACAAAAACAGTCACTTAAAATTTTAACTGACTGTTAACTGACAAAGAAATAATAATAATAATTAAATTTAATATTCAAATATTCTTATTTAGTCATTCAATGTTTCCAAAACTAAAAGGAAAAAGAAAATATAATGTGATTTTTTTTAGTTAAAATAACAGTAAATTCATTTCATTATTCCACACAGGAAGATTTTTCTATTAAATAAAATAATTTAAAAAATGATAAATTTTGGATTTAACAAATAAGATAAAACTATGTTATTTGCCTGAAGACGACAGCAATACATTCATCGAAAGCGCTCGAATGAAAAACACTTAAAGCCGCACAGCGAATTTTACTGCTTATTAATATTACTTGGCGTGAATAGCATACTAGTCTATATCACTTATTAATAATATTAAATCAGAATTAAACTGTAACTATAAAATTATGGAATATTTTCTTTACAAAACAAACCAATTACATTTATAAAATATAATTTAAACATGCTTAAATATTTAAACTTCTATTTTGTATTAACAAATACATAATGCATTCCAGTTAAAAATTCTGATGATACCTATTGCTTAAGTGATTTCCATTCTGAAATATTCAATATAATAACTGGTGTAAGAATTTTAAAATTTATAGTGTGTTAAATAAAACTATATCAAATATAATATCAGAATGCAAATAACTTACTTACTCACTAATACAAATTACAAAAGTGAAAACTAATAATCAGAAATAATCAAGTAGCAATTAAAAGTCATGACTCAGATAATACTATTTTTTTTATTAACATACTTTTTCTCAAAATTTCTTCTTTCTTACTTGTAAATTTTATTTGTAATTTTATTGTTATTTGTAATTATATTCTAATCGATTTGTGTAAGTAGTTAAAAATCTAATTAAAATAAGTTCAAATATATGATTGAAAACAAACTAAATTTACAATTTCCAAAAATTTTCATCAGCTACTACATTCTATTTAGATTTTATATTATTTATTTTTTATATATTTGCAATAAAAAAAAATGTATATTTTAATCTCAAGTTTTTCATTTGGTTTAAGTTTGTAGTTATCCTTAAATCAATGTGACAAGCAATTTTATTAAAAATATATTGAAAACTCCTTGTACGCAAAACCTTTTAGCAACAAAGTTTTAAGAATGGACTTGAATGTTAGAGGTCAGTGTATTTCACTCTCCTGTTCGATGACACCTTTAGTTTCAACCCACGACCAGTCTTTTCTCTGTACGCCTACTTCTCTAACACTTCGAGGAACTTGGATTAAAAACTTATTGTTCGTCTTTGACTGTTAATCCAGGTATCCAGATGAGAACCAATGAATAAAAAGTTTGGCCATTATCAATGACGACCTCAATGAACTAATAATATCTTTGAACTAATAATACAATCGCTGCTGAAATTCCTTACATGGTAAACACTGACAATTACAAATCCATACGATAATTTATAAATAAAAATCAAATAAAAATTAAAATGTTTAATTTAATTATAATATATTAAATAACTGAATAGTGAAATCCTAAAAATAAGTTTTGTTTTAATCAAATTACACAACAGCAATCATAAAGTATTTTAATTAGAAAAAAAAATTTAATATAAAATTCACTTTACTTATCTTTTTGCTAAATATTTCTTTCAATGTTAAATTTATTATATAATAGAAAAAAGTATTTTGGAAATGCAAAAATAGTACTGCATAAATTAGCTATCAAATGGACTTTATTTTAATAAATGACACAAATGTCATTCTACAAAACAACAAATTTTTAATACAACATTAAAACTTCACGTCTTCAGTTTTCAAAATCTACTTTTTGCTTCATTGGAAATCTTACAATCATTTTCTTTAAGTCACACGTACTGTACTTTCCAGTCTCATAGAACATCATAAATAAAAACCTTAAAAGAATCTTCAATAAACACTACTATATACTCTCATCAAATATTTTTTATTGTACAATATTTAACTAAAAATTATTTAAAAAAAACTAAATAAATTTTCAAATAAGTCTTCTATTTTGAACGTTACCTGACGTATCAAAAAAAAAAAAATTCTAAATATTTCAATAACTGATGTATCCCATCCCATTAGTTCTCAATATGAAGTTCAAACACATGTGACAGTTTATATTTACTTAGCATAACTTCAAATTTTTGTAATGTTCTTTTTGAAAGTTATGATTCAAAAATTGGAACTCAAATGTCAATTAAGATATTTGGGTTCTAGAATTTGACCTGTAAAGACTTGAAGAACATACTGAATATTGAACCTGCCCAAAAACATTAATCTGTATGGTGAGTATATTTTGCAATACTTTAATTAAGGTATAATAATTATTTGTTAAAACCCATTTGAAATGTCCATAGCAGTCTTTCTGTATCAATATTTAAAAATGTTTAAGTAAAATAAAATTGATTATGTCTCAATTTCAAAACTTTTCATACTTTATAATGTACTACTCCTCAATACTTAATAGTAAAAATAATTTTTAATTTTTATTAAAAGAAGTTATTTTATCATAACTACAATTTAAGTAATAAATTCCTGAATGTAAACAGGCTAGAAATCATTATTATTAATTTTTTGATATCTTAATTGAATGAAATTATGTTAATAAAAGTAAATCACTACAGATGACTCAGTGTTCTATATTTATAAAATTGCATGTTGCAATCATTTCCATATTTTCTGACACATCTCACTAACTGAAAATTCTAGGATATATTAAAAAAGAAAAAACTTTTTTGAAATGTACATCTATTCATAATTTAACTTAGCAATTTAATGTTTTTTTTTTTTTTTTTTTTTTTCTGTGTTCAGAAAATTTTATGATTCTCCAAATGAATCTATTCTCAATTATATTACTTTCAATTAACAACTGCACTTAAAATACATTTATAATTTTATCTGCTATTCAATTACATAAGCATATGTATTGATCAATAATGCAAATTTTATAGACGAATATACGCATTGCGTATTTAAAGGTTAGCGGGTATTACGTCGTCTGATCAACAGATGTTCCATTTGTTAACTAGACCAAGTTTAAGACCATTCATTTACTATTTTAAAAAGTTAAATTTAATTAATTTAAATTATTATTTTCAATGATGGAAATTAACAATCAATTATTTTTACTACATTTACATTAACATGTAAATCTTCTACTGAAATCAAGTAACAACAAAAGTATGAAAACATTTAGCAGTTCTATAATTAAACAGATTTTTCAATGAATTTCTTTTTAATTTTGATCATCAATTTCAACTAATTTAACTCAATAGAATTTGTATTTTATTTTACAGGACCTATTTATTGTTTTCTTTATCGAAACACTACACGAAATAGTCACTTAATTTTATGATTCTCAGTAGATGGGGTAAAATTAATCTGTATTAGTTTATTTAAATTCATCATATCTCTCATTATTTCTAAAACAAATTTTTAAAAAACTTTTTTAAGGAATTATTATAATTTCAATAATTTTTATTAATTATAATAAAATGAGTTGTTATATTTGATAGATCATTGTAAAATTTTAATTCTTTAGATTTATCTTTCTTTAAACAAATTACACAATTTATCCAAAACCTAGATTGAAAACAATTAACAAATTAATCACATTGAAATTATTATTATTGATGGCAAAGATTATGGAAAGGAAATTAATTGTTAACCTGTGATTAATATTTCAACATCAAATACTTATATCTGTATTTCTTTCCCTCTAATTAATTCAACAAGGCAGGACATTCTAGTTGTGTTGAATATTTATATACTGTTATCTCAATGTTTTTAATTATAACCATTTTCAGAGAGCATTTTACTATCAAATTTTCTTTGTTTCTTAAAACCGTATTTTCTATTCCAAATGCCAAGTTTAGTCAATATCAATAACAAACACATTGCAATTTAAAGATCAGTACTAATGATTCTCCAGCAATCAAGCTTAAAAACAAATGGTAATTTTATTTTAAATCATTACATTTGTCCATTTACCAAACTGATAGTTAACCAACTATCAGAATGCTTACCAGTGACCAAGGGATTAATTGAAATAATAATACAAGAATAATGTTGTTAGTACTTAAAGTTGCACGGTAATCAAAAAAATTAATTTGAATAGGTCAAAGTCAAATTCAAAAAGTCATAAGTCAAATTGTTAT